TACATAAAAGGGTACGGTCTTTTTTTTTTTTAGTTTAATTCATTTCAAACGGGCCGGATCCTGCCCACGGGCCGTAGTTTGCCCATGGCTGATCTAGAGGATAGAAAACTCTGAAAACTCATTCTGATCTTGAATTGGCCTTGGAGGTATGCTAAGAGTCTAGGCTCAAGCTGGTCCTATATTAGTTGAACCCATAGATATCAATTCCTAAGCCTCACCTAAGGAAAAGAATACAAGGGTGCTCTACAATTAAATAGTGTCTCTAAAATGGTGCTGAACCCTCAAAGGAGAGGGGCAGAACCACACAAGTCATCAGAGTCCTGAGCTGTTCCTTAAACTTTTTCATCTACACAAATTCTATTTGGTAGATGTAGGTCCAGTTTACAACTGTAGAGATAAATAAATTTCAGGAAATAGCTTACCTATGAACTTCAGTCACAGTCAGATGAAACCAAGGTCTTATGACAATTTAGGTCTCATGGTAAAGCGGCTCTATTCATTTTGGGAAGTAAAAACCAGAACTACATTGCAATTCTGTAATTTACAAATTTCTCATCTTTAAAAAAAATAGCAGAACAATTCAAAGAATTAGCTGCCTATAACAATAATTCAGTATTTGTAATTGATTTCAACATACTGTAATTTGATTTTCATCATTTTATAAATATATTCTTTTTTATTTTTTATTATTTTAAGGGATTCAGATTTTATTTATTTATCTACATACAATGGTGTATCTTTATTTCCATTTATAGATATGTTCTTAAATATAATTATATGAAGGCTATTTCATAAAATTGTGACAAATGACGCTATACCATTACACTATAAAATTATAAAACCAACAGGAAATAATAAGAACATTTTAATAAATTTTTACTAGACCTCGAGGAAAGGAATACAACAACATGATTAGAGAAGAAAAGTCCTAAATTCCCAATAAGTATTTTTTCCAAAAGACAGTTATCTTGATTTTAACTTATGAGAACATTTTTTGCCATCATTTATTTATTTTTGCTTTTAAATATAATTTTATTTATCATGGATTTTCACACATACATAACTGTGTATGTATAAAAATCCACGTGATCACTAATGCACAAGTCTTATTAATATATAATGCAATCATAATAATTCTACAACAAATAAATACAATCTTATTTTACAAGCAAAAGTGCATGCCAATCATTTTACTATATCTAGGAGAAGTGTACTAGTAAGCTGCTAAGTGTAGAGTTTTGTTTCCAAGTCTGCAATAAAACAACATTATTTTGGGTATGTTTTGTTACTTAATTTACTTAGTTTAGATTTCAAAATCACTATAACATCCTGCTGACTTTTATCCTTAACCAAGATCTTGATGGAGGATAATCTGAGAAGTGTCAAAAATTGCCAAGAGAGCCTCTTCATTTCTAGATGGTGGTTCTCTATGTACTTTGTCCTCTTTACCTGTATGTTTTCTTTCCTCTCAACCCTTAAAACCACCATGCACACATAATGATATAAAAAAAGTTGATGCCTGCCTGGGGAAAGTTAGAAAGCACCAGGTTTCTTTTTCCCCCCCTCAGGGGTAAGCGCAAACTCAGTCCCTCACTACTACAAATTATGCAGTCAAGTTTCCCACATTTGGGGAAATCGCAGGGGTCAGCACATCCGGAGTGCAATGGATAAACCTCACCCTGGGACAACCACCTTCTTGATCATGGCATCTCCCCTGCCAGGTAAGTATGAAAGCACCAGGTTTCAATTGCAAATTTCAATGTCAAATTCTATATTTTCCTTAAGCCTTTCTTCCATACTTTTCCAATGCCATTTAAATCCAACTTTAGTTTGAAGAATTTCCTTTAGGCTATTCTTACTGTCAGTGTCAAAATATCTGTATGTATGTTAAAAATAAAAGAAAGAATAAGCATAATCCATAAGATTTTAAATATTTTTGTGGCAAATAAATGGTTCTGTATAATATCATTTCTAGTGATCCTTTCAGTAGCTGAAAGCAATAATCCTTTCCTCGTCTCAATTTTGTACCACTTTTGTGGTAAATAAAGCTGATGATCAAGAGTGAGGTAATCAATTTGGGGTGCCAGTGGCAATTAAATAAATAAGCCATATAGAATTTACAAACATGAATGTGCCAACCATTAAAGATGTCAAAATAATTAACAAACATGGTCATACAGCTTAATTATTAAAATTGTCTCATAAAACAATACAGATATACCATTGATGAAATCATTTCTGTTTTCTATTTATTGATTTTAGTGAGAGAGAGGAATGGAGAGAGAGAGAGAGAGAGAGAGAGAGAGAGAGAGAGAGAGATTTGTGCTCCGACTGGGAATTGAACCCACATCCTTGGCGTATGAAGGATGGTGCTCTAACCAACTGAGCTACCCTGCCACGGCCAAATAATTTCTCAAAAAATGTAATAACCACAGCCCAAAGGAGGCCTGATGTGACATGATAAAGCCGAGAAAACTATTGCTACTCCAATCTCTTAAGTCAGTGCAAGGAACCTATAATTGGTTTTTATATTACATGTGATACAAATTCCCTACTTCTCTGTTTTGATATTTGTAGGTTAGGAGTGCTGAATTCAGAACTGTTTCCATGGGAAATGTTATAGAGATTACATCTTGAAAAAGAATGTAGGAGAGCTTCCCGGGCTTTCGAAGCCTCTACGTTCTGCTCTTGAGAGATTTGAAGGCTAAACTGATTTACATTATTCATTAGCAAATTAGAAGCCATAAGGTTGGTTATAGAGAGGCACTTAGTGAGATTTTCTTCCAAAAATTGTTTGTAGAGTTCATCCAGCTTGTTTTCCATATACTTATTAAGCATAGAATTAGAGCGAGGCTGCTTATGAAACAACATACTTTTTTCTCGAATTTCATCCCCATTCAAAAGTTTCGAGGCAGATAGTTTCTCTAGAGGCTCAATGATGGGAGAATGGCCCAATGGTATATCTACTGAAAGTAAAAGGGGACCATTAAAAGCATCATCACGTATGTGTTCCACAAAGCAGCCTGAATCATACATGTTGCCCACGTGGTCTCCTCCAATCTGTAGGTCAGGATAATTCTGGCAAATACTTGTACATGACCAAGATCGGTATAAATCCAGTTGTCTTTCATTACATTGTTCTCTTTTTGGAATGGGCAGCGCAACAGACAGATTTCCTGGAAAGGATGCACTTTTGCATTTTGGTACAGTTATTTCATCCACAAATTTTATTTTATTTGTATCATTAATTTGCTTTGTTAACCTTTCTTTCTCAACCTTTTGTTGATTTTCTATTTTATCAGGAGAAAGTGAATTGTCTTCTATATCTAAAAGCTGCTTTTTCCAAGTTTCCTTTTCATCATTTGAGGTCTTCTTACATGTAGGTGGTTTACAAAATGTTGTATATTTCTGTTCTTTGTATAGGAGTTCAAGTAGGAAGGCTTCTCCAAGCATTTTATTAGTCAAGATTTCTAAACAGAAGAGTGCAGTATATTCCTGAAATTATAGAAGAACCCATTAAGGCAACATATATTAAAATGTCAATGTAAGATGTTTCTTCTACATGAAACACAAATGATTTAGGGAGGTAGTGTTACTCAAAAGACAGAGAATAGGACCAGGAATAAGATTTGGGTTCCAATTAGGCCATTAACTTTTTTAATTTAAATTCTTTATTGTTTAAAGTATTACATATGTCTCCTTCCTCTCCCCTCCCCATTGACCTCTCGCCGGCTGCTCCCACCCCCAGCACATGCCCTCACGCCCCTACTGTCTATGTCCATTGGTTATGCTGATATGCATGCATACAAGTCCTCTGGTTTATCTCTTACCCTCCCACCTTCCCCTAACTTTTTAATATTAGGTAATTTATTTATCATTCCTGGGTCTCAATTTTCCTATTAATTAAATGGTGATAAGACTCCCCTGCTTTATTCACAGAATTACTGTCAGGATATTATATGATGTACATGCAAGTGTTTTAAAAAGTACAAACTTATGCATCATCTTTATTTCATCTTTTTCTCTGCAAATGACCGGATTTTCTAGAGCAGCGGTTCTCAACCTGTGGGTCGCGAGCCTTTTGGAGGTCAAACGACCCTTTCACAGGGGTCGCCTAAGACCATCCTGCATATCAGATATTTACATTACGATTCATAACAGTAGCAACATTACAGTTATGAAGTAGCAACGAAAATAATTTTATGGTTGGGTCACAACATGAGGAACTTATGTATTTAAAGGGCCAGAAGTTTGAGAAACACTGTTCTAGAGCTAAAGAGTCATACAACCAAACACGTATGGTGGGTACATCACTGGCAACCTGGGGTCAGAGTTGCAGCCTGAAGGAAGTGTGTAAAAAGAATGAAGGCTGTGGGTTTTAATCCACAGGTAGCTGGACATAAGGCCAAGAGTTTCCAAAAACACTGAGAATTCAAAAGCATCACTTGGTATCCCATATTGATAACAAGCCATGATAGTGACTATGTATTAAACTATTGAGAGAGAAAGAGAGAATGAGTGACTAAATCACACTAAACCATTTGATGCTGTCTTAAATGACAGGTTAGTAACAGCACAGTTATGTCTAGGTCCTATGCGTAGTTTAGTCATAGAGGGAAGTTCCAGCAAACTAGGCCAGCACAGTATTTCCGTCTTGTCTAATTAATCAATTTCAGCCTCCCCTCTTGTTCCTTGGACAAAAAGAAAGAGTAAAAAGAAGAAAAGGAGAGATTGAAAGGAGAAACAAAGTAATGGAATTATATCAATCACTTTTTTATTTTGAAGAAGCAGAAAAAGGCCAGCTTATATATTTATATTCATTCCAGAACCTGTTCAATGTTTTATAATGTAATGTTCCATAAAAATAAATAGATCAGACAATAAAAAAGTACAAACTTATACAAATGTTTAATTATATATGTATATATATTCAGCTGTCACAAATGATTTATTTTAAAGTTATTAATGCACCTAACCCTTTCTTTTTCAAAAATAATTTTTGATGTTGACACTGTTGTAGATGTCCTGCTTTGTCTCTTCAAATAGACAACTTAAAATCAAGCCTGCTATTGAGACCTTGGTCTTAGTTTAACTGTGTTTTAATTACTGTAATTTAAATCACACAGTGAAAAAACTTACTATGCCTTAAAATGTGTACACGGAATGAATATTTAATTATACATAGTTTAAACTCATGAATACTTTCAGGTTTAAAATATAAATATAGCCACTTACTTTTCAATAATCTAACTTGAAATAGAAATTCATAGCGATGGAAAGTGGAAAAGAGATTATCAGGGGCTGGTGGTAGAGGGGAACAGGGAATTAGTGTTTAACCGGCAGAGTTTTAGTTTTGCAAGATGAAAAATTTCTGGAATCATAGTGGTAATTGTTGTACAACAACACGAAAGTACTTAATGCCCTTGAATTGTACACTTAAAAACAGCTAAAATAATAAATAAACAAACAAACAAATAAATAAATAAATGTTTTGTCAAATTCACTACCATCCTTTTTTCTTTTTCTTTTGCCTTTCCCTTTCTTTTGACCTTCTCTCTCTCCCTTCACCTTCCCTCCCTCCCTCCCTCCTTTCCTTCCCCCCTTTCTCCCTTCTTTTTGACTTAAATCTTATTTCTCAAAGCACTTAATTCAGTCTTTTGCATGGTTTGGCATGCAATTTTAAGAATCTCAATTTTTTCTATACATTCTTCAAGTGTGAGAAAAGACAAAGAAGACTTGGTTCAAGACACAATTTTCCTTTATAGGACTATAGTGTCTACTATAAATGTTTCCAGGAAACGTATTATTCTCATTTAAATGGTTTTTTTTGGAAAAAAATCCAACAATACAACACAAAATATGTAAGAATTTAGATTTACCTTTTTCAAATATCAAGATACTTAAAGATTCAGTCTTCTGAGATTCCAACACTCCAAACACAGGAAAAGTTCCTTTTGGCTTCTTTGTTTCTTAGCTTTTGGTTTACACCTCGGAACGATAAGTTCAACCACACAAAATGAAATGGTTCTGCTTTCCATTCATGCCCTAGGACTGAACCAAACTAACAGGAAACTGATGTGGGCTGATCTCATATATGGTATGGTGATGAAGAACACACAAACCAAAAGAGGATCTTGAAAGTTTTTATTCAAGATGCAAATGAAATGACTATGGGAAATGTTAACAGCAATAGTTTTTTTTGTTGTTGTTGTTCAAGCAAAGACAGAGACAAGGTTATTTAAACAATTTTAAGTTAAAACAAAAGCAGTGTGGAAACCAGCATATTTTGTAACAATAATTTAAAATAACTCAAATGGCCATCAAGAAGATAATGGTTAGATAAATTATGATACATCTATTCCATTAAATACAAAACTAAGGATTTTTAATAATGGAATGATAATAAGCATCCATTAAGTAATTACTACAAAACACATCTATACTAATAAAAGGGTAATATGCTAATTAGACTGGACATCTTCCAGACAAAGCCACAGTGGCGGGGCTGAGGCAGAGGCAGTTAGAGGCAATTAAGCCAGCAGGGGAGAGCAGTTAAAGGTGACCAGGCCAGCAGGGGAGGACAGTTATGGGCAACCAAGCTGCCGGGGTCCAACCCCAGCAGGTCCAGGGGTCCCCAAAGGTGTGGACGGAGTCGGCGAAGAAGGAATGACACAGAGACAGCGTTCAGTTGATCAGCAGCCTTGCCAGGATCTCTAGCCACAATCTCCAGCCAAGTTCTGTGTCCATGTTCTCTTGCTAGGTTCTCCAGCCATGTTCTCCAGGTTCTCCAGCCAGGTTCTGTAACCAGGTTCTGTCGCTAGGTTCTCCAACCAAGTTCTGTAGCCAGGTTCTGTCCAGGATCTTTTGCCATGTTCTCTCCAGCGAAGTTCTTCTGTCTCTAGGTTCTGTGTAGGTTCTGTCTTCTAAGTTCTGACTGTAGGTTCTAAGTTCTGTCTCCTGTTGTCTTGTTACATCTGTATTTATTCCAGTTGATTCCAATCCTATCAATCTCTATTCCAAAGGTTAGGGTGTTTCTTATCTCCATTCCAGGGAGTAAAGATTATGTAGCTTAGGGGAGGCCAGTTAGGAGTAATCAGGCCAGCAGGCAGAGGTGGTTAGGGGTTATCAGGCAGGCAGACAGAGGCAGTTAGGGGTGATCAGGCATGCAGGCAGAGGCAGTTAGGGGCAATCAGGTAGGCAGGCAGGTGAGTGGTTAGGAGCCAGCGGTCTCAGATTGGAGTGGGTGCAGGCTGTGCTGAGGGACCACACCCCCCTCACGCGTGCATGAATTTTATGCACCGGGCCTCTAGTAATTCAATAATAGAGAAAAAAACAGAAGCTATTATCTCCATGTAACAAAAGAAACAAATACAAAGAAATGTTTTATACTTGTTGAAGACCAGAAAGTGAGGAAATGGTGGAACTATTACGTGCACCAGGCAATTGAATTCAGAACCCATGCTCTTAATTACTACACTGTATTACTTTCATGTGTACTGATGGAATGTGAGTTGTAGACAACATATACAGTATGATTGCATCATATATTGAACATGTAATATGTGCCAGGCACTTTTCTACATATTTTACATGTACTAACTATATAATCTTCATAACGTCTCTATGAAACAGATATTATAATTGCCATTTTACATACAAGGAAACTGAAGAACAGAGAAGTTAGATAAGATGCTCAATACCACACAGTTGTAAGTGGTATAGAGTCTGGGTTTGGACCCAGTAAGCCTGGCATCAAAGACTGCTTAACTTTCCTGCTACAACTGACTTTTTCTCCCTCTTAATTGAACTAATATATGTAATTATGTTTGTGGAAAAGGGTATAAATCAAACTGCTGATAATGGTTTATTCTGGTAGTAGGTGGCACATAGAAGGTGAATGGGTAATATTACTTTTTACTTCCAATATTTCTGTGGTTTGAATACTTCTACAAGGACCATGTATTCATGTATTATTTGCACAATTGAAAAATAAATAATTCACATGCATAAAGGACAAGAAAAATTATTATATATTCTTTAGAAATCATTTTCTCAATCTTAAAAGTGTCTGCCACATTCGTTAGAATGATTTTAAACCCAGATACAAAGTGCCAAAGTATACTGCGAAACATAGACAAAATTTCTACATAGTAGATACTTTGGGCAACAATAATTAATAAAGCTTTTTTTCAGCCAATAATTATTTTATCCACTGAGCCAAGCCGGTCGGGGCTATTTTAGCCAATAATTATTTTAAAGTAATTATCACAAATATCCCGTAGAATAGATTAATTCTAAATTTGTTTCTTTCATTTTTATTTTTTTTAATTATGGGTGTGCCATCCTATATAATAAAAGCCTAATATGCAAATTGACTGAACAGTGGAACTACCTGTGGAATGACTGGTCACTATGATGCACACTGACCACCAGGGGGCAGATGCTCAATGCAGGAGCTTCCCCGAACCTGCAGGCTGCAGGCCAGCCAAGGCGGGTCCAGTGGGGGCCCTGATACCCCCACCAGTCGCCTCCCACAGATCAGCCCTGATTGCCAGCCAGGCCTAGGAACCCTACCCAGGCATGAATTTTATGCATCAGGCCTCTAGTTGGTTAATAAAATTATGTAAGTCATACCAATAAATGTATGTTAGGTTGTCAAAGATATCATCTTATAATAAACTAGAGGTCCGGTGCACAAAAATTTGTGCACTCAGGGGGGAGGGGGGTCCCTCAGCCTGGCCTGTGCCCTCTAGCAGTCTGGGACCCCTCAGGAGACAACGACCTGCTCGCTTAGGCCTGCTCCGGGGTGGCAGAGGGCAGGCCCAATCCCTAGGTGCAACCCCTGGTCGGA